TGAGTGATTGTTGTGAGTATAAGGGTTTTCTTGCAGTCAAGATTTGAGTTAGCTATTGTGGGGTTTCTTGTGTGATTCCTTAAGGATTTGCAGTTTGGTGTAGAAGAGATAATTGTTATGTACTTTTCTCTTGTGTTTGAAGAACATTTTGTAACTTGTTGCCATTTTTGGGCTTAATAGTGCATCGGAGCAAATATTTAATTTTTGGATGGTCAACGGGGAATATAGGCGTTAGATCTGGTCGCCAAATCTCCGGGGCTTAGGCCGAAATAATTCTTTGTGTTCAATATTTAATTTTCTGCAAGTTTACTTTCTAATCTATTGATATTTGTTGAAATCTTGTTTTAATATCGGTTGTTGTGGACCTTTCAGTGGTATCAGAGCCTGAACTGAGAACAAGATATCTGGATCTTTGCAGAAAGAGATCGATCAGTTGCATCAAAAAAATTTGGAACTTCAGTTAAGCAAGTATTAAAGATATCGAGTTTTTTGTAAACTCTGTGGGTGAGGTCTTTTATTTTTGTAAAGTTCATTTTTCAAAAATTAGAGTTTTGCGATTTTTCCCTCAATCTACCATACACCTAAAACCCCTCGGAGACTAATCTTTGTTGAAAGACTCATACGAAGTTTTGGGAATTTGAGATAAATCCATTACGAGTGTGTATTCTTGCAGGAGAAGTCTACGAAACATAGACTGTCTGATCTCTGTTGTTGTGTTCTTTATCTTTGTTTGCACTACATGTTTCTTAATTGTGGTTGAAACTTGAAAATCTTGTATTACTAAGTGTACTACTGTGATAATTTAAAAAAGACTGCTGTAATTTTTTGTGAGTCCCTAACTGTGCCTTGCCAATATCTCGAACCTTTATTTGTGTATCATATTTTTTAAAAATACAAATACGGCTTCTGCTAAATTTGAAGTTCCACAATTTGATGTAAGATGTGATTTTAATATGTTGTGTCAAAAAATGGAGGCAATTTTAATGCAAATGAGAGTTGTTAGGGCTCTGGATGATAGTTGGCCTGTAGACTTGCCTCCTGCTAAGAAAACTAAACTTGAAGAAGTTGTCTGGAGTACTATTTTCTTATACTTATCTGATAATGTTGTGAGAGCTATTGGTGAAACCAAAGCTGCTTCTGAACTGTGGGCTAAACTGCATGCTAAATATTTGACTGATACTATTCCAAATAAATGATATTTGCTGAAACAATTCTTTTCTTTTAAAATGGACCCTTCTGTTGATTTGGATGAAAACTTAAATAGGTTTACCAAGTTAACTCAAGATTTAGCCAACTGTGATAAAAAACTTTCAAAAGATCAGTTAGGTGTAGTCCTGTTAAACTCCATTAGTGACAAATATAGAGACATCAAAGTTGCCCTTGAATATGGTAGGGCTGAGATCACTCCTGATGAT